TGTTTACAGCTAAGGGATGAAACACAGACAGACTGCATCGTAAAATGTCTTCTTACACATGACATTTAAGTCCAATCCCTCTTATTCTACTATTTCACCAAAAACAACAAATGGATTAAAATGATGATAGTATCAATCGCACCGCTGAATCCAGTTCAATTCAGGCAAACACACACAATGCCCAGTGACAAATTTTTGTCGCTAACGTCCAGCAGATGCTTCTAGCTAAAAGAATTGAGACCGGCCGCCATGACTGTCAGAAAACATCTCCTAAAAATTTCAGCTTTCTAGACTTTCTGGTTCCTGAGTCAGCAACTTATCCGTCGAAAAATTCCAATGGCCTGTAGGCGAGAACCATGTACATCTGGGAGCTGAATTTGAAGTCATAAAATTGTGCGTGGGCGGGAAACATTCCCTAGAAATTTCAGCTTTCCAGCTTTTCTACTTCCCGAGTTAGCAATTTTTCCGCTAAAGTTTTCACGTCCCTGCACGGGAGTACTATACGTACGCGCGCGATTACTCTGAAGGTAAGGACCCGTATAAGTGTAGACCAAGTTGTCAAATTCTCAACCTTACAGCTTTTCTGGGTCTCGAGATGAAAAATCGGTACAGACGCACACACAGACATACACACACACACACACGCAGGCAGACAATCCCTCGTCAATATGCGTTTTCTGCATTTGCAGATGCAAAAAATCCCACAAAAAAAAATGAACGTAAGGAGCTTACTTTTCGGGCAAACTCAATGGATATACCACAAGCCCACTGCAAATATTCCAGATATACTTCCGGACTGTGAAAATCGTGGATAGCTCGTTCGAATATTCCCTCAATCAAATCTTTGCCAGCATCGGCCGCAGTTTCATCTCTGTAGCAATTTTGCGAGTTACTACTGCTTAATACACATCACTGAACTATTGGCCATTAGAATTTTGGCAATATTAAACCACTTATAACAGCCCGAGTGGAATGAAAAGAGGAAAACTGGGAGGGAAAATGGGAGGAAAAGGGAAAGGGGGAAGGGCGGAAGGTGGGTTTACCCCAATTTTGGCGGATTCTGGTCGTTTCTTACGGGAGGATCAGGGGAACGGGAAACAGGAGGGAGAGGAAGGGGAGGGGGGAGAAGCGGGAACAGCGAATTCTAATTTTGGCGAATTCTGCTCCTGTCCTCCTTCCAAAGTAAAAAACCACATCATCCAGTTTTCAACTCAGTTGCCTGAACATAATTTTTTATACCTGAACCCCGTTTTTACCTATCGCTTTTTTAAAAGTCAACAGTCCCCAGACAATTCTGGTACTTTTCTAGTCAAGCTTTCATTCCTTTTGTAAAATTTTACGCTCTTTTATAGAGTTTTTACTTTATTTCTCTGTCTCCCCTCCCTCCCCCCCCCCTCCCCTCCTTCTACCAAGTTCTGAGTTTCCAAACCAAGTGCTTCGGAAATTTTTAAGATACAAAATGAAAGTTTATTTGGCGCTATAGGCCCGCCGATGAGAGGGATACAATCGAATACGGAAGTTTTGGGAAAGCAGGAAGTGCCAATCCAGAAATCCAAATAAGCGAGCCTGCATGTGCATTAGCTGTTATCCTGTCTGGGTTTCATCTCTGAAATATAAACATAGACAGCACAGCCGGTGCGGGATAGTGTGGAAATCATCAGCACAGTGTCCCATCCCGCCATGTTTAAATGCATATGTCATTTTCCGAAGGAAGATGAAGGAAGGAAGGAACCTGGGAAGTTCAAACTAAGTTTTGCGCTGGGTTTGTCTATTTCTCCAGAATTTTTTTTTTTTGTTCCTTTATTTGAGTTTTTATTCCGCTTCCTCCTGATCAAGTTTTGTGTTGCCTGACCCATTTTATCGCATTTTTCTCTTGCCCATAAACAATCCCAGAGCCCTCTCCTTCTACCACGGCAAAATCGACCGTCAACTACCCCAAGCGCATGCCAGTTCACCGCAACAAAATCATCTTCATCACACACGGAAAGTTTTCCAATTCCAAAACCCAGTACGAAATGAGGGAAAAGTTTCGAGTCGATGGAAAACGGCTCAGAAGCGCGCAAGAGAAATGTTCGTGAGGAAGGGGAGGGGGCATTCTCACGCCTCAGATGTTCTTTTATAACATCTCAAAGTCCTAAAAAACGGGAAAATTTCTGGGCAATGGAAAATGGTCACAAAAACACAACTGAAGCATACATGAGGGTCATTTTCAGGTCTCAGATTTTCTTTTATAACAAACTAAATCTCAAAGTCCTAAAAAACGGTAGAAATTTCGAGCCGATGGGAAACGGTCAAAAAAGCCGAAACGAAATGTTCATGACAAGTCATTCTCGCATCTCAGACGTTCTTTTACGATAAACTAAACCTCAAATTCCCTAAAAAACGGGAAAATTTCAAGACAATGGAAAACGGCCATAAAAACACAAATGAAGCGTGCATGAAGGTCATTCTCAATGTCTCAGATGTTCTTTTACGATGAACTAAACTAAACCTCAAGGTCCTAAAAAACGGGAAAATTTCAGGGCACAATGGAAAATGGTCAAAAAGGTCGAAGCAAAATGTACATGAGGGTCATTCTCATGTCCTTGATGTCCTTTTAAAAAATGCTAAATCCCAAAATCGGCCAAAACCCAGTACAAAACTACGTTCATCAAGCAGCTGAATGTATTTGGGGAACACCTACTCAATCCAGAGCATCCAGAATTGCGGTGGCATAGTGTATAATTTGGAGATGCATTCACGCTGATCACGCAAAGCTTCCAGTTCGCCGCTTCTGCGCAGTGCAGCTATCAGCTTCATTCGACTTTCATAATCTCGTGGCTCCAAATCCACCTGTAATTTACTGCACAGCTAATTTTTGGTTTATTAATAAAAATTTAAATCCCTGTACTAGTGGCTCTTACTTTCAGTATTTCCCTAGTCTAAAGCTTCCTTGCTTTTTTGTTTTTTTTTTCTTTTTTCTTTTTTTGCATCTATGCAATGCAAAAACACATATTGTTGAGGGCTTGCCTGTGCGTGTATGTATGTCTGTATGTGTGTGTTTGTGTGGGGGTGTGTGAGTGAGTGTGTGTATGTGAGTGTGCATTTGTGAGAGTGTGTGTGCATGTGTGTATGTGTGCGTGCGTGTCTGTGTGTACGTCTGTACCAATTTTTGATCTCGAGACCTACAAAAAGCTACAGGGCTGAAATTTTGGGAACTTAATCTACATGCACGCACGGACCCCAATCCCCAAAATGGGCGCTCTTACCCGCGTGGTACCCATCTATGGGTCCGTAAAAGTTCTAAGGGATATTCCCTGTCCACGTAGAACTTGATGATTTCAAGTTCAGCTTCCCAGGTATGCGTGGCTCTCACGTAAAATTTTTGTTGGACAAATTGCTAGCTCGTGGACCAAAAAAGCTGAAAAACTGAAATTTTAAGGGAATGTTTTCTGACGGTCCTGGTGGCCAGTCTCAATTCTTTTATCTAGGAGGATCTGCCGGAAAAAACAGTGCCTTTAGCGACAAGAACATGCCGGGAACTATGCAAAAAACGCATCTTCGCATTGGCAGTCGGTGCACTCGGCAAATATTTGTTTATAAATAAAAATCTAAATCTCTTACTTTCAGTACTTCTCTAATCTAAAATTTTCTAATTTTTCATTTATTTATGGCTAATTAAAGTAAGGCTTACTGCTTTTTTCAGTTCTTCAATAAGCACTGCATTTGCTTCCTCATCGAACAACTCGTCCTCATTGTTACTAGCGCCATCATTGTCCATTTCGTCACTCATTTTTTTGGCCTTGAAATTTCTCCTGAAACAGATTTTAGCCTTCGAAATCAATTTTGAGAGGGAAAAAAAGTAAGACGAGAAAGTATCCATAAGAAATTTTAGCCCCAAATAACTGTTAACCGAACGCAAACACCGATCACACCCATAGGCGGACCCAGGTTGGACTCTGGGGAAGGGGAGGGAAAAGGGGCGGGCGGGGGAAGGAACGGGAAGTGAGGGACGGAGGAGAGTGATGAGG